GTTAATAAAAATTTTGCACCTAGAAAAAGATAAAAGGATGAGTATCAATTTGGTGAGTTGGATACCCGTTGTCAGGAGACTGACGTCACCTAACAAACGAGCAGATCCAGATGCTTTCGGCTCATGTGGAGTGAGTTTATCAAACCAACACACCACGGCTCATCCGATAATTGAAACCTGAATTCATATATTTAAAATGTGAACGTATGGGGTGGTGCAATATCCGGAAGTACAATACATTCTTTCATTACTTCTGCTCTAGGAAGAATACAAGAAAGGGTATTTAAAATAAAATTATATTTACCTAAAAAAAAAAAAAAACATTGAGAGATGTCAAAACTCGAAAATCCTATTTCTTCGGGGAAGTTCCCAATTTGTTTTTATTGGTGGGAGCCCAGGGGTCGAAGCCCCTAGAAGATCCTAGATTCTAGGGATTTTATAGGGTAATAATGAGGTCTTCCGAGTAAACATTTTTAACATTTTCTCGTCGAAACTATGATTTACACAACTAAAAGTGCTATTTGAATTTATCAATGAAAAGGGTGAGTATCGAGTTAATCGGTGGATACCCCACATCCATGAGCAGAAGCTCATGGACATAGAGTAGATCTAGCTGCTTTAGTCTCAGTAGAAGAATCAATCTTAACCCACCAAGCCACGGCTCACCCAAGGTCTAGTACAAGTATATTATCTATATAAATATTGCACAACTATACCTGTGAAAGAGGAGATAAGTCTAATGTTAATCATGCTAAAGTAAAATATGTCCTCAAGAGGCAATCTTGTTAATGAAAAGGAAACAATTCAAAATAATCAATCTTAATTTTCTTTAAAATATTTCAAAGCTTTAAATTGTAAAATGAGGCGCCTGTTCAATTAAATTATAAAAAAAAAAGCGTTTTAACAAGACTGATTGAGATATGGAAAAAAAAAAAAGAAATATTATTTATTGTTTAAAAAAAATATGGTCAAATTTATTGAAAAAAAAACCCCGAACATTGATGAAAACAGTTTTTTTAATGAGAAAAATGTTATAAGCTAGTAAAAATTTTGCACCTAGAAAAGATAAAAGGATGAGTATCAATTTGGTGAGTTGGATACCCGTTGTCAGGAGACTGACGTCACCTAACAAACGAGCAGATCCAGATGCTTTCGGCTCATGTGGAGTGAGTTTATCAAACCAACACACCACGGCTCATCCGCTAATTGAAACCTGAATTCATATATTTAAAATGTGAACGTATGGAGTGGTGCAATATCCGGAAGTACAATTAATCAATTAATACGTTGTTTCAAATACTTTTGCTCTAGGAAGAATACAAGAAAGGGTATTTAAAATTATAAATATCTGAAAAAAAAATGGGAGATGTCAAAATTCGAGAATCCTATTTCCTCGGGGAGGTTCCCAATTTATTTTTATTGGTGGGGCCCAGGGGTCGAAACCCCCAGAAGATCCTGGATTCTAGAGATTTAATAGGGTAAAAATGATGTCTTTCAAGTAGACATTTTTAACATTTTCTCGACGAAACTATGATTTACGATTTGATAATTTTTTTTGGGGGGGGGGGGGGTTGCGCCCACCTTAAATCCGCCTCTAACAACTACCGGTGATAAAAGAGATAGATCTTATGTTAATCGAGATAAAGGAAAATATTTCGCTCATGATTGCAATTAAAGAAACCATCAATCTCCATTTTCCTTTAAATATTTCCAAACTTTATATTGTGAAATTGATGCGAGGTGCTTGTTTATTTTTTTCAAAAGTATTTTTAGTGAGGATACATATCTATGTGAATATACACGACATATTATTAAGATATGAAATATTCTGAAATAGACTGTATTATTTGGTGGTAAAAAATAAAAATGTGGTCCAAATTATTTTAAAAAAAAACGAACTTCAATGAAAACAGTTTCTACAATGAGAAAAAATGTTTTTGGTTAATAAAGTTGGTTAACTAGAAAAGATAAAAGGATGAGTATCAATTTGGTGAGTTAGTTACCCGTTGTCAGGAGACTGACGTCACCTAACAAACGAGCAGATCCAGATGCTTTTGGCTCATTTGGAGTTCATCAAACCACCACGCCATGGCTTATCCGATAATTTAAACTTGAATTTACATATTTGAATGTGAACGTATGGAGTGGTGCAACATCCGGAAGTACATTGTTGCATCCATACTTCTCCTCTAGGAAGAATAAAAGAAAGGATATTGTAAATAAATTTCCTGATGATTTTATATTTTTCTATACAAGAGTTTCCATTAAAGAAAATGATTGTAAAATAAATCGATCACAAATGTAACTTTCAGATCACATATGTAACTTTTTATTGTAAGTAATCACTCAATCTTCTTTTCAAGATTTTCTCAATCACGGAAGCCTTGATTTTTCTCATGCATGTATTCTTTTGAAATCACTGAATAAAAAATATCCGGTTTAGGACTTTTTTTAAAGAAATATGTAAAGACTTTTATATGGTTAATGTAATATTGAGAGT